ATAATCCGAAATAATAAAAAATTGTAGACTCTGTATGTGAAACCGGTAAGTTTAATACTATTCGTATATCGGTATCCATATCCAGATCCGAAATTACATATCAGTAATATCTCTGGTATGAATATTGCTCCATGAAATGTATGAAATGTTTGGAACACGACGCTGTACGGGTGCGAAACATGAACAGTGGCGGCGGAAAAGAAAAGGTTAGAAGCGTTCGAAATGTGGTGCTATAGGCGAATGAGGAGGATACTGTGGACAGAGAAGGTTAAAAATGAAGAGAAAGAATAGAAGAACAGAGGACTTTATGGAAGTCAATAAAAAATAGGCGAAATAGGTTGGTAGGACACCTTCTCAGGCATTACTGTTCGCAAATATTTAAGGATGTGGGTTGTTCTAGTTTTAGGGAAATGCGAAGATTAGCTCAGGATAGGAAAGAGTGGAGGTGCGTGTCCAATCAGTCTTAGGACTAACGACCTTATGATGACGATTATTTATATTCTAATACTACTGCAAAATATGTAAATCTTACAGTTTTACTTTTTATTGGCAATTGGGAGAACACCTACGATCAATACTCTTACAACGCTATAAGATAAACTGCTGTAAAGTTCCAAAATACTCATAACAAGATTACAAGAGTAAACATTTCAATCTGAGTTATTTATGACTGAGTATGATAACCCAATTTTCTGTAATTCAAGGATTAGAAACTGCGAAATGGAAAAGAAGATTCTTCTTAGATACTATGACATCTTTAAAGCTTTAATGAGACGGTGAATTAAAACAGTGCGTACTCATAAAAGTGTAAAATTTATGTACCTAAGTAAATAAAATAGAACTAGATTTAAAAAATGTGCTAAATGTTTATGTTCAAAATCCAAGCCAAGTATATATACGTTGCTTTATTTAAAACCTAAACGTATTATTACGGTTCCGTATTGGATTTAGGACGCCTTACATCTATACAAGGTCTGTTCAAAAAGTATCACGAGTTTTGTGTTTTTTCAAAAATTTATTCATGAACGTCTATTTTGACCCCTTCAAAGTAATCCCAACCAGCTATTATACACTTGTGCCAATGTTCTTTCCAATCCTTGAAAGCACTTCAAAAAATCATTTTTTGTAATCTTTTTCAGCTTCTCCTTCGATGCCGCCTTTATCTCCTCAATCGTAGCACAGCGTCGTCCTTTTATGAACCTCTTCAGTTTCGGGAACAAGAAAAGGTCACAGGGGGGCTGATCTGGGGAATACGGTGGCTGCGGCATTATTAGTATGTTGTTTTAGGCCAAAAATTCGGGCACAAGCAACGATGTGTGAACAGGGGCGTTATCAAGATGCAAAAGTCAATTTTTGTTCTTCTACAAATCTGGGCGTTTTTGGCCGATTACTTTGCGCAAACTACGCACAACTTACAGGTAATATTCCTTATTGGCCGTTCTACCCTGTGACAAGAACTCACGATGCACCACATCCCTGCAATCGAAGAAAACTGTAAGAAAAACCTTCACATTCAACCTAACTTGGCGCGCTTTTTTCGGTCTTGGCTCGTGCGGCAGCTTCCATTGGGATGATTGAGCTTTGGTTTCCACGTCATAACCATAAACCCATGATTCGTCACCAGTTATGACACTCTGGAGCAAATTTGGGTCGTCGCGTACAGAGTCCAACAGCTCCTTAGCAATGTTAAAATGCGATGCTGTTTTTGGTCGAAATTGAACAGTTTTGGTATGAATTTCGCGGCAACCCGTCTCATGCCCATATCATTCGTAAAAATCGAAAGGCAGGAACCAATCGATATGTTTAAGTCCTCAACAACTTCTCTAACGGTGATTTGACGATTGATCAATACCATTTTTGTCGCGGAGCAAAACTACTACTGGGAAAAACCGCCTCCAAGACACTTGCTTAGGTTAGGGAAGCTTATAAAGACGACATCCTGTCAATAACCTCACTTTCTAGGTTTTCCGGTAGTTTAATGAGTTCAAGAACGAACGTGAGACCTTTGAAGACAAATGATTTGGACAAAAATGTGCCCAAAGTAAGAAATCTGCATACATACAGCCGACATATGTAAACGCTAATTAAACTCTATCGCGACTAGACCAACGCCAATCCGGAGAACTGTTTCCTGTTCCTAAAGCTCAAGAGACACCTGGAAGACCTTCGTTTTGAAGATGTTTTCGACATTCAAAGGACTGTTACAGGGTTACTGAAAGAGGTTAGGGCAGTTGACCTCCGAGGGAGGACTTTGTAGTGTGGAAATTACACTGACAGCTATACATCAACGCTTAAATATGTACCAATCCGATCAATAAATTATTTTTACCAGACCCAGTCTCAGTACTTTACGGACAAACCCTGTATATCAATTAAAATACACAATTTTAAATCCTGCCTTGGCGTTAATCGGAACACGCGATTAATTAAACAACTTGAAATTTACATTAATTGGAGTAATTGATTCATCAAATTTTCCATTGGGGAAACTGGCCGCAATTTCGATAAGAAACTTCGATTAATTGAAATTCTAATCTAATCTTTTGAAATCAGAATTAGTTTTCGATTATTTGAGATTAATATTTATGCCCTTAAGACGATTTCGGTGTCACTGACAAAGAAATAGCAGTTGTAAAAATAGCGCAAGAAGTACGAAAAACGCGGTTCAAACAACAAATGCCAAAAAATTGTAAAAATATGTACGTATACGTTTTATTGTAATTAATTACGTTATAAAAATTAATAATACGCAAACGTTGTGGAATTTTAATGATTTACGACCTTTGGCTTAACAGAAATTTCGAAAAATGGAAACTTACACCTCGACCTCATACATGGAATATTTCAGTTTGATAAGCGAAATTTTCAAAATATTATTCCGTATCATTGTCTTGGCCTATATGCACCTAATTATTATTATCATCTAATATCGTGTGGACTTTCCATAGGTGCACTCATGCATTTACGAATTTGCATTATTATTATTATTATTACACAAAACAAAACCATTTGCGGTCTTTTTTTATTTATTGCTATTTTTACAAAATCATGAATTGCACCCGACTGTAACGTGTCACGTTAATATAACCAGAGTTCGCAATCGCAAATGTCTTTCACAATTACCCATTCAAGTATCTATTATCGTTCCATACACGGGGTACAAAATAAAATAATCATAAAAATAGTTATTATAAACGATGATTTTGTTAGCAGGAAATACAAGCAAGTGAAACTAAAGCAGCGTAGTTCAAATGTCGGCGTCAATATAAGGTCATGCTTAACGAGAAAATAAAAAAACACGACATGTTACGCAATAATTGTATTAAATATCCATCTGTGTTGTAGCGAAAATTAATATTATTTATTTATTATTATATGCGTATAATATTTACATGTACAGGTAGAAATTATATTTTTTATAAGTTCGTTTAATACTATTCG